TTCAGCATTCACAGACATCAGTTGTCCTTATCCTGCAACTACATTAAACAAAAACCAAATACTGCCTCATTGCAAAAAACTGATGTGGAAAGGTCACCTCGCTCCCAGCCTGCAACTTGTCTGATGTAACGGAGGAAGAATCGGCTCCCCCTCCCCGTCTGAGATGGTTTCACCCACTCAACTGTATGTTCAGGGGGGAGGAGGCTGTTTTTCTTCGTTTTTAGGGGAAAGCCTGTCAAAATGCATCAACATCGCTGACACGGCACAGTGACACACTGACCCACAACCGCCGGAGGAGAACCACAGAGAGAGCGTGGAAAAAATTAAATAAATTAATAATAGTAAAAAAAGAAAAAAAAAAGCAGCTATCGATTTATGTAAGAGCGCTAGTCATCGCGGTGTAGGGACTCTTTAATTATTTCTCAGGAGCCAGACAAAATCAGTGTGCCGTGAAGAGACTACATCGATTTCCCTTCAGCCAAAGCAACATACTCACTGTGTAGAGCACTAGAGAGAAGTAGACGCATGAGTTTTATAGCACAGCCCAAGCTAAACACAAATCTAGACAGAAATGACGGCCAGCACTTGCCAAGGTGAGATCAGAATCAGAAAATTAGCTTTCCACTATTACTGTAATACATTACATTTCAAATAATGACTACAGCATGTTTTTGGAAATTAATGGAATTTAATCAATAAAAAAATAGAAAAAATTTATTTATTTATTTAAACTTACTAAAATTAATTATAATACATACATACATATATATATATACACATATTTAACATATTTAACTTTTTAGTCATTTTAAATAAATAATTTATCTATTTTTTTATTGATTAACTTCCACTAATTTCTGCTTACATATAGTTTTTAGTTTTGTATTGTGTGATGGCTACACTGAAAAGAAAGCTTTGCATATATATGCATGTATATAAATACATATATATGTAAAGCTTTCTTTTCAGTGTAGCCATTACACAATAAAAAACTGTGTAAGCACAAAAAAAAAGCCTTAAAGGCCAATTAAAAAAAAAAAAAAAAAAAAAAAAACTAATGTTACAGAGGTGTGAAAAGAAAACTCTTCAAAGGTGTTTTTTTACAAGAAAGGCCAGAAACAGGTGGCAGGTTGTGGTTTAGCACCATTGCTTCTGATTGATGTTTGGAGGATGAGTTGCAAACGCACTTGCGGTTCACCGTAGGCTGGCGGTGGCTGTGCATGTTCTTTTTTGGGGAGCTAAAATTAGCGCCCCATGTGTATTTCCGGCCCGCAAAAAGAGTCGAAAAAGCAGAAACAAACAAACAAACGCAGCAAAACAACTTTCAGCTGGTGGAAAATGGTACCTACGGATGCGGGGGCACTCAACACATCAAATGGCATTCTTTTAAATCTATAAAAGCCCTGCAAGACAAGATGATGCATTCAGACCATGCGGCCCACCTGAGTTCCAGCTGCCAGCATTAACACATAACTACACACACACACACACACACACGAGCACACGACCATGAACTCGTTCGCACGCATGCATTTCTCATGTCTAGCCAGACATGTTGTCGAGACCCTGTTAAAAATGCATTGTTATGGAAAGAGAGGCTCGGTTGAGAGCTACACTAATGCGAATGCGTCTCCATTTGCTCTGTCAGCACTACTCCAGCAACTTCCATAATTTACAAACTGGAGTGGGTGGGGCCTAATAACATCACAGCAATCGGTTTATATTATTTAGACTGAAAAAGATTCCCAAAGGTTAAAAGTACACAAGTATTAAATGTTGGTTACTAGCAGAGATGGGAAGTAACAAAGTACAAATACTTCATTAATGTACTTAAGTAGATTTTTCCGGTATCAGTACTTTACTCCGCTACTTATTTTTCTGACATCTTTTTACTTCTTACATGTTTAAATCGAGCTCGTTACTTTCCTTTCTATGTGTTTGGTGGCGCAATCTTTATTACTTCTTGTCATTGGACAATTTGAACGGCTTTTTGATGCAGTCAATAAATTTTTTTTATTGCGCGCCTGCGTGCAGCAGTGCGCAGCTTTTTCAACCAAGGCTAAGTGCACCATATGTAGGATAGTTTATGAAGATTACTATGAGAAAGGCAAAGGTGATTTGCAGTCAAATATAATCTCAAAAAGCGTAAACAGCGGCCTCTGGTGGCTTAGCAAAAACAAAAACAGCAAAAAAAACAAAAAACAAAATGTAGCTCCTGCGACATATTTGACGCTCTACAGAAATGTTCATAGGGGTATGTTTTCAGATTGAGCCTTGGTTGCAGGAATCCCCAGCAGGTCAGTCGCAATCCCAGATTTGCTATATTTATTGTTATATTTAATAGAAATAAAAATTTAAAAAGGTTAATGAAAACGATACTACTACTACTACTACTACTTGATATGTGTCACGCCCCGCGTTCACTTGAGGAAGGCACAGGGTCGCAAGATTATCAAATATGTGCATTTATTATAATTACTTACAAGGAAGAAATACTGGAAGGACATGGGCTGAAGACAAGCAATGAACGAGACATCAACAGAGAGAATACTGGACAACGAATGACTAAACACAGGGACTTAAATACACTGGAGATGATGACAATGATTACATACAGGGGATGAACACAGGTGACACAGATGAAGATTAACAAATGGCGGGAACGGGAACAAAGGAGCACATGGGGAAAGTCACATGACGAAAACAAAACACACAAGGAAGACTGGGTGTGACAATATGCTAATGGGGTATATGCCGAAGCATGCTAATAGAACTTTAGAACCTGGGTTAAGCGCTTCCGGCGAATTGAATGTCAATGCAAAATCCGGTGCGTTTAAAGTCTGTTTTCTTTAAAAATCAGTGATCTCCACTGGCTCAGTGATATCCAATTTAAAGAGGGTCTCAGATTGTACAAGAAGCACTGCATTAAATTACATTTCCCCCGTCATGTCTTTATAATATGAGCATTTATTTTACCCCAGTATATTCAATGGAGCTTCTGCGTTAGCCTGCCGATTGTGACGGGCGCGTGCGAGTAAACAGCT